ACGCGGCCTCTCATATCTTTATTCTCTTGCATTCATTTTTTTCTTCGTGGTCTTTACGCATTTTTCTTGACACGGTGAAGTGTGCTCGTCTTTCAATTGTCTGTTAGCCATTCATTCTGGCTGTTCAGACCAACATTTGAATTGTTACAAGGCTGATGCGTTGTTTCCTCGACATTGCTGCCCGGCTGAATGACCGCATCCTCGTTTTGATCATATCTGTGAGGTGCTTGTAGTCTGAAACGATGTCTCTGCTGATATCTGTTGCAAGGTTCAGCTGAGGAAGCTTACGTGCCAAAGCTTCAAGATTGGAATATTTATCCATTGGTCGGTGTTTTAGCCCTTCAGCACTGTTCGTTATTAGCGACATCAATTATGGCTGTGGTTCGTCGTAATGTAGTCTGATGTCTGACCTTGTACAGAGTTCGATGACAGTCATCTTTATTGCTCGCCTTGAGGCCCTCCGCGCGTTGTCTGTTTCATTAGAGTTCGTATCGTTAAGCCTATTCGAGATGCACTGCTGCTACTCGAATTCTTGAAACATTTTATTCATGAGATAGAGGCGGTTAATTTAGCTGACGCTATGAGATTTCTTGTTTTCCACTTCGAAACCGGCCCATCAGACTCTCTATGACGTTTGTTTCTTGTCCTACTATGCGTTTCGATCTCCTTGGATGATTGTGTAGGTGGTCATCTTTTGCTCTGCGTTTTCCGGTTCCTTCTAGATATGCTCCACTTCGTAGTGCGCTTGATGTGTGGTTTATAAACTTCGATTGTTTTCAATAATCTTCTCATGTCCTTTCGCAGAATTAGTGCGACGACACGAGGTAACAGGAGTTCTCAGGTGACCTACACCGCCTCTGCAGGTCCAGTTTTGAAGCACTCTCCCGAGGAATATTTTATCGCCATCATTCAGTTGTGCTGTAATTTTGGCGAAGTTTCGGGTTTCGCACATTCTGGAACATCTGCTTTGATCATATTCGATGCATGACGGTAAACATTCATCCGACAGTTCTGGTTTTGTGGCTAACTAAGAAGATCTTGATGATTTCGTATTGCCTTTTGCCAGTAGCGTCCTGACATCACCGGGTCGTGAGTAATCCCAGTTTCTAGGCTGGCGCGATAGCCTGCACTTAACCGGTGTTCTTTCGTGTGTAACATATTTTTGGCGAGTTTTGTAGGCATTCGTTCAAGGAGTGCCAACGTTCATGAATGCTATCATTCGTCATCGACGTCCTTAGACCAGCCTGTCAAGACCCAGAGGGAGGCATTTGTTGAACTCTTGATCGCCGTAGGATTTACTGACCAGTACCTGGCGTCACTGCCTGACCCCACCTCAGAGGATTGCCCCCGGCATATCTAACTGACTCACCTAGCAGAGATAAATACAATATACGAGACATAACGCATGTTTTATTGTGTACATTTTTTCCTTCTACTGTTTGGTACTTTTTCTTATTTTTTCAACTAGTTTTTCTGATTAGATCTTATGTCTGCTCCATTCACTGACGATGAAGAAAGAACTTTTAATGAACAGGCTTGCAGAATTTAGTAGCCGTTCTCTTACCATATCTCTATTTATTGTGACCATTTATTATGACCACTTTCAGCTGCTTGCTGCGGAGTACCTCTTGCAGTGTCTGCGGTATATATTTTGATCTGTTAATATCGTTTGAGATGTCGTTTGGATGAAATACACAGATACTATCCAAAGATTCTATTCGTGCATCTGACGAGCATGCTCGGTTTGTCTTCAGATTGTTGCACTAAGCTTGTTTGCATGCTACCGGTACTAGCAGCAGCATGCATAACGTTAACTTGTTGCGATGACGTGTTAACTTTAATCTCACCACAAAAAATACCTATAGTACTAACAGTATCAGTAGGTAGTGTGCTACTTCTAGTTTTCAATATGATACATGAGATCTTTATATCGAAGATAATATCTTTTGGATACATATTCTTTTAGTAATAAAACAAATACATATCAGTATCACATTAGTGCTAGTGGAAAACATCATAAGAGTAGTTCTCTAAAGACGGACCGACAAGTCATATTTGTATAGCAGTTGGACGCCACACACCGATGTTATCATCAGAGTAACCGTGATTGCATAGGCTCATTGAATTTTAATTTCAGTTCATCTGCAGCATATAGTTTTTTTGAAGTTGAGAGGAATGTTGATTGAAAATTGAAATCGGGGTTACTCTTTGTGGTAATTATTACACACACTGGTCAGTCAGCTGTCAACTAGGTCAAGGCGAAAGGCAGCAAGAAAGGGCGTTCGTGACAGATAGCGTCGCCGTACATTTCGTGCATTTTGCAACGACAAGGCCGGAATATCATGCTGTCCGTATTATTCTGACTTACTGTCACTAACTTACTATCCTTTTCTCAGCTGAATGCACTGAAGCAGTGTTTGGTTAATTCCTTACTTAAGAGAATTCGCGGTTATGATAAAGATTCTCCTTTGAACGGGTTCGAACGGAGCACATTCCGAGTTCAAAACGAACTTTTAGGCACTGTGCCAGTATAGTATAATCTTTCTGTTTACACACGAACGTAATAAACGACGCTTTGCGCTGCCTTAGCTTTGCATTGCTGTTTTATTTTAGTTCTGAACTGAAAATTTTCAGTTTTATCATTTACTGTTTCGTTATGGTGGTTGCGGGCGCGAAAGAGGACACCAAGGCCGACAGTCTGAAACTTTTTACCAGGGAGGAAGTGTCGAAGCATAATGCAAAGTCTTCCACATGGTTGACTCTAGACAATAAAGTGTACGACGTGACAGCATTTTTGGAAGAGGTAAAATTTTTTCATTAAGGATGCGCCAAAGTAGTTTTCTTTTTCAGCATCCAGGAGGAATCGAGGTTCTTTTGGAAAATGCCGGCAGAGACGCGACCATCGAATTCGAAGACATCGGTCATTCCAGCGATGCCCGAGAAATCCGTGAACATTATCTCATTGGTGCCATTGTACCGGTCAGTAGTTTGATTTTAGGTTACTTTTAGTGCTTCATAGTCTGATCAGCCTCATCATTCTTATGCTGAAATCTTAATTATCCTTGATTATTCAAAATTTACTAACTTTTCAATATTGGCATATCATTGCATTATTTGTTCGCCGCAGTATTAGCGTATTTTATGTTTCATTTTATCTATATAACTTAATATTATAGGTTATCAGCTTATGAATGAAAATTTTTATTTTAAATACATTAAAAATACGGCTTATTTATGCATAGCGCAAAAACAGAATGATCGATCAGATGATTGACCGTATTGATTTACGGTGTGTATATACAAACCATGTCTTATGCTGTTTTCATTATGACGCAATGACATGCATTATGTGTATGTTTTTGTACTATTTTCACTATCTTAATATACTATCGTCGCTCTGCATCTTCTGTTCTTATCTGTAATCTGGCCTACCATCGTATCTATATAGCTTATCTTAGAGAATATCATTTTCAGCTTATCATTACGTTATTATACACTATTCTGTGTCTGGTTATCTTGTCTCTGCAGGTTTTCTTATGCTTGATTTTATCGGTATAGTTTGTACTCTCTTGTAACTTATCAACTTATGCGTAACAATTCATATCTTCTTTTGTATTATGCTAACTCCGTATCATGCGAGAGTGTACTGTCCTCGCTCTGATACTCTGTATTTTTGTGCACTCTGCGGGTTTTGTATCTTGTCGGTATAGTTTATTTCAGGATCTGTCGATAAGAGCTTATTACTTAATACTGGGATGTAATATCTACTCTTTGTTATAATCTATAAGGTCACCCTGGCGGTGCGATTTGTTCACCTCAACAGACAGTCCATTAATGAAATGAAGCAGAGAAAGCATCAGCGCAAATTAAGTAACAAATAAATAGCAGGAAAATTGTGATTATGAACGAAGCTATGAGCAGAACTGTCTTATCCGATATATCAAACGACCTTCACAGAACCAAACAAGATAACCAGGCAGTCTGTAATGTTCAGGTCTTCACCAACATTTGGAGATTATAAATCCGATAATTATCCGAAAACTATGACAGTGCCGTACGGAGTTGCTAATCTCTAAAAGTACTAGTCAGAGAATTGTGATTGAGCGATATTTGGAGTCTGCTTGATTATTTGTCTAGGGTTTTGTATCTTGGATAGATATGTGATTTCATAGTAGTTACAGATGTCCTGATTCCTTATTGTTTATTTGTTTTGTCATTATGTTTAGCTACTTACTAAAACTGGAGGCCGTTCAAAATTGAGATGTCTCATCTCAAGGTTTTCGTATTGTGATATTGTAGACAACATAAACATGGTTGATTTATATACAACGCAAACAGATTGTTCAGTCAGATGATTAACTGGTACCGGCATTTCACCCCGTAGTTCACTGCCCTTCTCCAACGTATTGAAGTGGATGAACTTCTAAAGCTCTTCTGGTCGTCTGCAGCAGTTCGTCCGTTCAAAGCCGGAGGGTCTTCTAGCCAACTGAACAAATTCGTTGCGCTGTTCATAAACAAACCGCGTTTTATGTTGTTTTCAGTATGATAACCGGCGCTCGAACCAGATACTCAGTTAACCATGATCGTCAATTAGTTCATTCCACCATGTAATGTACTGATCACCGATGTATCGCACTGGTTTTTCGTCGTCATTGTCTCTGTCAGGGTAACAGGAGCCACCGAGCCTTTGTTGCTCTTTGACAGATGATCGAATTATGTCTATCTCCTATATCTGACATAGGCTCAAAGTCGGTTCACGTGAAAACATGAATATTTCTTATGCTATCAGCTACTTTATATCATCTGATCATCAAACTGCATCTTAGTCAGCGCTTGAGTCGATATCCATGTTTTTTTAAGAACAGTCCTTTCTAGCCCATGCAGCAACCGTCTAAATGCATTGGATCAGAGACGGATCTTAGCGTTGACCAGTATAGAGATTTTAAACAGGTTTTTAAGTGTTTATGAAGCCAGTTTTATTATTCTGATCATAGTTGCCATCATTTGGGATAATGTCGTCATACATTAGAATTTTTTGATTGGACTACTTTCACGACACCTTACTTTCGACTGTCCGTTTGGGTCCCTCTGTATCTTGGCCTTTGAGGGATTCGTGTTTAATCCCGCTTTCGCTGCATTTATAATCACAATCTCAGTCAACAAATGACCTTTGTCACTCTTTACTAGCTAGACACTGTGATTCTCTAACTTCGTTCACCAAGGCGGCAAAGCTGTCATTAATTTTTTTACGTACTCTGTGTATCTTATGCCTTTTTCGTTTAGGAAGAGCGCAACAAAATTGTCGCAAAGGTACACATTATGTTCTGCTTAATCTGTTAGGTAAGATAAAATATTTTAGCCCACACCCTTAGCGAAAACGACAGAATCATCGATATTCAATAGGTAATTTTTTTCACTGTATAATGCAGTTTTCCGTTGACTAAGATAGTATAATTTCTAGCACGTGGACGAATTGGTTTATTCCCACCGTTATCGCGGTGGGTGTTGCTGTGATTTATCGCTGGTTGTTCGGTTAATTTGTGGTCATTTATCGCCATTTTTAATGCCATGTTACTTAAGGGTGGTTTTATGTCTTTTGGTTGGTTCATGACCTCCTGTTTTATGAAGAATGTGATGGAACACGGGAATATCTAATGGCTAAAATTCAGAAGTCGTTATTATTTTTGCGTGACCAAATGATAGGTCTTAGCCTTACCGTATACAATCAACTAATACGTACCTATTAGTTTTACTATTACTGTAATGGTTTGCGGTAGTACCGCATGCTATTCAGAAGCCACACTCCGTCATATGTTAAGCATAATAAATACATAAATAATAAGTAAAAATCATTGAATCAGTGTAGATGTCCTCGTGTATGCCCTAAAAAATTCGTTAACCTCGTTTTCTTTATGTAATGACTGAACTGTTGCTACTTGTTGGGCACTAACACAAACTCCAACACTTTTCAGATTCTCGTAGGATGAAACGTGATAGTTGAAGTGATCTGAAACATTTTGTCCTGACGTACTTGTACATGCAGTTGGGATCTATACGCCTGGTAATGCAATACAGTCTGACACTGCGAATAGTCCGGATATTGCAGCACTGGTTATCAGTAGCTGACCATAAATATTGCGATACAGTTGTATGATATACTACATTTTGAGC